GCACAAGCAGGAATCTTGGCCCTTGTCATTTTAAGCAGAGAGATGCAGTCTCCAGGTGCAGGTGACTGTAAGTGGAGAGTGCAGAGCGTCCCCAGGACAGCAGGTGCAGCAGGTCCTGTCCCCTGCACAGAGAAGTGACAGAAAGGATGTTCAGGGGCTTTGGGTTTGGGTTGGTTTCTACCAAGTGCCTTTTCTGAAGGCCCCAGTAACATGGTGGTGGGAGCACAGATGTTCCCGTGTCTGAACAGAGACATTGTCATTGGTTGTTCTTTCTGAAGTGCCGACAGCTTCCTTTTCCCCCTAATATCAAAAGAATGGCATAGATCAGGGGTGTCCAACCTCTGGCTGACTAGTTGGGAAATTTGGCATGAGACTTCCCCCCTGCAAGGCTGGGGCTGGGCTTTGCCACCCCCCCCCCCACCCCCTTCCTAAACGTCTCTGCTCTCCGTAGAGTCTGGGCCATGCCCCCTTCCCTCCCCTGCACCTGCAGCTTCAGGTTAGGAGTTAGGACCCAACCGTGCCCCCACCCTGGGGCTGGGCCATGCCTGGTCTGCTCCCCCCCCCACCCCGCCCAATTAGATAGATGGAAGCCCCACCGCACACACACTCATTGCCAGATCAGGACCACCAGTTGGATCTGGCCTGCAGACAGATTGGGAACTGCCCATCCAGGCCACTGGGCAAAATGTTGGATACCGCTGGTACAGACCATGCACCAAGGAGCTTGCACTTTACTATGAAAAAAGGTGGTAAGTAAAGCACCTGCTTCACTTTCAATAGTCCGGTCCTTGTGTCCCGACAGAAACTCTCTTCGTTATTCTAATGAGTTGGCCCCAGTTGAAGACAACCAAACAACCAAGCAGAAACTGAGCTCCAGCAACATGCCCTGGGGTCGCCACCACGTGGACAGGCCAGTTCACAGGCACATTTCCAGAGCCAGCATCTGAACCCTCATTTGATATCTGGATTGCAAAGAACCTGAACGCCCTCCTGGTCTCTACACATTATCTCAGCCTGTAGGTGCCTCATCCTGTCCTAGCCCTGAATGTGCTCTGCGCTCAGCGGAGCTAGTTCCACATGTGCAGAATGACCAGGTCCTACTGAGCCCGGTGCTAACACTCCTGTTGGCATTAATGGTACCAGGAGAATCCCAGAAATGCCAATATCTTGATTAAAACCTCTGCATTTTGAGTGGTGGTAGCAGATCTGTGGTTGCTCTTTATGGCTTAAAATACATTTGGGTATATTTTGTTTTCCACTGCACAGATTATGATGCAGGCCAGTGGATTGAAGTAGCAGCAAAGTAGGTTTAGCTTGGATATCAGGAAAAAACTTCTTCCCTGTTTGATCAGTGAGGCGTAGGGAAGTTGTGGACTCTCCATCACTGGAGGTGGCAAGAAGAGGTTGGACAACCACTGCTCAGGGCTGATGTAGATAAAGCTTTGCCTATGCTCTGCTGTGAGGTTTTACCATGCTTCTGGGCTTTTCTGCTTGAGCCATGCAGCCAAGGATAATTTTATTTTGCCTTTTTAGTACTAAACACCAGGGTTTCTTTTCTTTCTTCTTTTTTTGAAGCCTTCTCCAGGAGCGTTGGGTGTTGTCTGAAGTCAAGGCTGGGATGTCAATTGGCATCTGCCACTGTTTCTGGTGGGACTTAGCCCTGGAGGTTCCTGGCTGCAGGGTCTTGCCCCTCCACTCAGGGTCAGAGTGGTAACCATATTTGGGGTCCAGAAGGAATTTTACCCCATGGTCAGATTGCTACAGCCTGGGGAGGAAGGGAGAGGGCAGGTTTTCCTTCCTCTGCAGGGTGGGACATGGCTCTCTTCCTTTGATCTCTCGTGCATATTTGAACAACTTTGCTGCAGCAGAGCATTGGCCACTTTCCTCTCCCTACTGCATCTGTAGCAGCTTAGGGTGTTATGTCTTGTTATGACTCCCCCCGCTGTCACACATTGACACTATTATTAGCTTACTCAATACATCATACCAGAACACAGAGCACCTGGTAGTCAGGGCAGCCTGCACTTCAGCTGCTACAGGGGCAGGGAGATACCAGAGTTTTAGGGCACTTGTACATGCAACAAGATTTCCCGTTTGCACTACCGCAACTGCATTTGTGTTTGCACAATTGGGATTTCCTGCCACTTTAAAAGTTTTTTCACCACATTAAACTAAAGCAGCTTGGACATATTTTAGTTTGTGTCACTGCCACTTGCATCACCCTATCTATGGATTCCTGTCATGCAGACACAGAACCACTCAAAAACATGTAATGAGCCTCTTTGTCCACCAGATAGCATTTTAAACTGGTGCAACATGGCAGCCCCATCTGAAGCTGTGGGGTGCTGCAAACCTCTCCTCTTCCCTCCAGCCTGCACTGGGAGTGGCGGGGGGACACATGCTGCTGCCTGCATGAGACAGAGTCATACACTTCATCCCTGTTTGCATGGAGACAGCTTCCCACTCCCACTGGCAGGGCAGAGGGTGCAGCGGGCTGTGGGTCAAGAGTGAGAGGCACCAGCAGGGTGGCGGGGGCTGGGGGGTATGGGCTGTGGGTGGGGAGTGAAGGGTACCAGCAGACCTGGGGGCAAGGGCTGCGGGTCAGGAATGAGGGGCATGCATAGAACTGGTGGGGAGGCTGTGAGACAGGACTACAGTCCTCCCCCTGAGTGACAGGCTACACTTCCCAGCATCCCCCAGC